TGTTTTTGCAATAGGCCAAAACTGCAGTTAAGCTTTAGGTGGAAATGGATATTAGGCTCTCACAATATTCGGTCAGAAGTAGTAAAGTCAAGAATTGTTCGTAAATGTCGCGCATCGCTAACATCACTGAGTCAGTGTTCCAACGTTGACGTATTTCGGGTTAAGGAAAAGGAGCAATCGATTCACCATATTTTATGTCAATGCCCAGTCGAGGCGTCTAAGGCTCTTGCCATTTTGTTTATCTACTAACTTGGTGGTGATAATGGGAGTAAAACTGTTGCACCTCCTCAATTCCATCTGGGACCGTAAAAGCTTTAATTGACACTATAATATTATTGGCTTTTATAGAAGGCATTCATAATGGACTAATATGCCTCCGAGTTGCAGTATGAACGCTTCATATACGCCTTACTAACCAAACCCATTTGTTTTTGCGTGTGCCCCCAAAGGAATTCTTACACACATTTTGAAAATGTATTAAGCGTAGGCACATACTTCAATAGCTTTTGTTGGCAAATTTAACAAGCAAACACTTCATATAATTTCTTTGTCATTGGCATATATTTATGTATGTATGTATACATTGTATAATCATTCGTACCTATTCGCGTATATTTATCTATGTAAACAGTGATTCATGTGATTGTAATTCATGAAAAATCATAATTTTTCACTTCGACTTACCTTAAAGCTATTATTTTACATTGTTCCTCGGGTGAAGGCAGTCGATGATTCAAAGGCACATCTTTATTTATATCATTAGGCAGTTGCGTATTGTCGCCAATTTGGCTGACATTTATGGCGTAGAGTGCGTCGACCGCATCGGCCGACAACACGGACGGAGATAGGGCGGGCGTCAATACCCCATTATCGCCGATCACCATCGAGGTGCTAATGGACGTGTCAACATGATGCATACAATCGGGTGTGACCGTCATGTCACCCAACGCTTCGCTGGAGGTCCACTTGCGGAGATCTTCAATGGCGGCGGGCTGGAAAAGAACAAAATAAAAATTTGTAGAACTGGCAATATCAAGATTATATTAATTAATTGCAATTTTTCTTTTTAGAGCAAACATAGAAGGAGAAAATATGCGAATATAAATTTACATACAGTCAGTCAATAAAGTTTAGGTACAGCGAATTTTTTACAATACGGGCAACTATTTTTTTTAAATATTTTATTTTTCGATAATTTTTTATAAAAATATGGTCAATTCTACAACAAAAAACCCAAAAATCAGGGTTCCGAAACTTGTGCAAAATTAAAGAAAATTCCGCAAAATTTCATTCAAATATTGCACTTTTTATTTACGCTCTCTAGAAAGAAGTTGGGTATGCAGTTTTTTAGCCCATTCAATTTTAGTTGATTTTTAGGAATTTTTTTTGTTGAAGTTGTAGCTCATTTTCTCCATATAAAATAATGTTTGATAATTTTTTTTTATATGGAAAAAATGTGCGACACCTTCAACAAAAAAATTTGCCAAAAATCAATGGTAAGTCCAAGCTTCCTCATACTTGCACTTTATTATACTAAAATTGAATGGGCTGAAAAACTGCGTACTCAAATTTTTTCTAGAGAGCGTAAATAAAAAGTGCAATATTTGAATGAAATTTTGCAGAATTTTCTTTAATTTTGCACAAGGTTTGGAACTTTTCTTTTTGGGGTTTTTGTTGCAGAATTAACCATATCTTTATAAAAAATTTGCGAAAAATAAAATATTTAAAAAATAGTTGCTCGTATTGTAAAAAATTCGCTGTACCTAAACTTTATTGACTGACTGTACATATGTATGTATATTAGCAAGACGATTTGTCATAAGACTTAAGTAATAAACAAACTAATGCGAAGGAGAAACTACATTTCTGCGAGAGCTTCTTAATTGCATACATATATACATATAAGGGTGTCCCAGAAAATAAGAGGTAAGTTGTTTCTTCAAAATTCGATATGCGGCGCGACATCATTTCATTTCATATAAAAAATCAGCATGTTTTTCACACATACACGGGAGCTGCAGCTTATTAAATATACGTTTATAGTGTTTGATGGACTTTAAAGATGCAAATTTTATTCAGAACATTTTTCGTTTTTCTCGAAAGGGTGTCTTTGTCGTCAAGTTGAATTACCGGTAGGCCCAAGAAAAGTGCTGTTGAACGGAAGCGAACGAAGCGGAAAAGGGGCTGAGTGGGTTTAATGAAACTACGCGAGGAGGTGATTTATGTCGTTTGAGATCCCTTTACAAGCCGGACGTATCGGCCGTTTAATAATATACAGACATATTTCAAAATTTAAATTTTTGGGAAAACGCAATCAAAGTTTGAACAGTTCATACAATTTGTATAACAAAAGGCAGATGAAAAGACACGTAACTTCGCCATTTTTGAGAAATATAGTCATCTTTAAGGCTGTGCAAATTCTCCTTATCAAACTTATTAATTGTATGTTTAAATCTCTAATAACTTAAATTTTAAATTATATCCCTATATTATTACACGTGCGATATGTTTTATTAATAAGATGCAGTAAAATTTGAAAATAGAAAAAAATACCCGCCATTCGCCAAGGTATGCTGCCAAAAACTTTTCTGTTGAGGCTCTGTACTTTATTAACAAATTCACAGGAGATATACGCTTAGCCTTGAGGAAGTGGCTTATACTACGGAGGTATAGTTTCAAAGGTTGTCTGAATGCAAGTCGATCATCCTCATCAAAGGCGTGTGCAATGTAGATACATATTACGCCGTGAGATAATAATTTTCTCAGCACAAGAACTCGCGTGGAAATTAATTCAATCCGAATGCCAGCATTCTTTAAAATAGCCTCAAACTATAGGAGTTTAAAATATGGACATTTGGGCATCAATTCAGATAAGAATGCAAAAAAACTATAAGTCTTATGTATGGTAGCTTTGGTATAACTTCGTAATCAACACTTCAACTTCAAGTCGGCAGGGGTTGTTGTCATCCTACAGCAATAAAACTTGAATACATAAATGTTATTTAGGTCAAAATGAAAAATTGTATAGGGAATGCGAATCGAATTTCGCAAAAAATAAAATTCTGGGACACCCTAATACTTAAATATTAAGGTATGCTTTTATTGAATATTTCACGAAGTGGGTATTTTGGTTGAGCCGCTATTATTTGCATTCAGTTGGACGAAAATGATATAAATTTCCACATAAGACCACACCTTAAATACGAGATTCTTTTTTTTTTGTTTTGCGAGTTCATTCAATCACACAAACTCTTAGATAAAGTTCGATAAGCGCATAAAACTTTCGTGTTCAAATCTAATTAATTAAATGTTGGCTAAAAACCATTAGCATAAAGGAAGTCATTTCCGCAATTAAAATAACGAAGAAATAAACCGAAGAGAGCAGCTAAGCCTTTGAGTAACAAACGAACGTATTGTCGAGGTCAGTTTGCCACAATTGGGAATCATTCACACTCGGAGGTTTGCCGTTATCAGCCGAGTGGTATCATTGTTAGAAACAACTTTTTTCAAGTTTTAGATGCTGCTAGAACGGGGCATTGAACCTAGGTCCTACCTTGTGGTAATACTTCCTCTAATCACTCGTCTACATAAAACTTATTTCTAAATAATTTATTTGTAAATAAAGTATAGTTGCATATTAAGTTTTAATAAAAAAGGAATGAAGCAAAAAGAAAAAAAAATAGATTAACTAAATGGCAAACGCTAATTTCAATGTACAAGGTAGGGCAATTTAAGTGTTACCAAATAAAGAAGTATGTCATTTTATTTGGTCGCACTTAAATTTCGCTACCCTGTAAATAGAAGAAATATTAAATATTTTTTGCGCGCACGCGTATAAAAATTCAATCAAGCAGATTAAAATAATAAAATTCAGTTGGCAGTAGATAAGTACTAAATTGAATTAAGAGCCACTGAAATAAAATAACAAAACTCAAAAAATGTACATGAAGATAGGTTGTACTCGTAGTTAGTTAAGAGAAAGTAGAGTAACTAAATCAAATAAAATAAATAAAGACAATATTGTGGTAGTCGTTGAAGACACAAACGCAAAAATGCCACTCGCTGAACGTCGCTTATGGAAGAGGATTTACGCTAAAGTCCTCCGCTTGCCACAACAATGAACAAACTGAGTAACGAAGTACTGCTACTTATTCCAATTTTCCTCGCACTCACTAATTTATTCATTGCTTTACGCGAAGCAAACTATGTATAAAAAAACTAAGAAAATAAACTCGATAGCAAAAAAATGGTAATCGTGTGTGTGGCTAGTGAAAAACTGGACGACAGGAGGAACAACGTTCCCAGCAGAGAAACAATATTTCTGAAGGCTGAAACAATTTTCCAAATTTTAAGATACAAAATTTTAGTTTTTGGAATGCGTTAATTTTTATTCACGTGAAGTGTTGCTTTAGGAAGATCAGCTGCCAAGTAATATCGGTCAAAAATGGAAACCTAACATTGAGAAAGCAGTCAGAACGGCACGCAGTGTACGAGAATGTCGATGGACAAAATCGTAATTCTCTCGATAGGAATATGATAAAAATATAAAAAAAAAAAATACGTCCTCGAATGCTGACATAATGGTCTACAGGGGAAATATAATGCCATCAAATGATCATTACACTCAGCCCCTAAAAAACTTAATTGAAAAATAAATTTTAGAAAAAATAAAAATTAAACTTTGTTGGCTGTCTTGTTTGTCAAATTTTTTTGAGCTAAAAAACTGCATGCTTAAAAAAAAATTCTGGAAAATCTGATTAAGAAGTTGAAGATTTAGATGCAATTTTGTAATTTGAAAAATGAGCATCTAAATGATTTCTTGGTCATCTTTTCACAATAAAATTTAATTAAAATTTAAACGTTTGACATTGCCTGCCGAGTGGCGAGAGTGCCCTTTAAAAACCTTCTCCTGTATTTTTTTTTTGGGATGTAAGTTGGACCAGGGATCGAATCTTGGTCATATTTGTTTATAAAAATATAAGCTTTTTGGTTCGATTTTTTAGAAATATTTTGAGTATGCGGTTTTGCAGCCCGTTCAACAAAGTGCAAGTTTAAAGTAGCTCAGATCTACCATTGATTTTAGGGATTTTTTTTTTCGCTGAAGACGTTGCTCATTTTCTCCATATAAAATATCTTCGAAAACGCTTGGTGTGGAAGAAAATGACTGACATCATCCATAAAAAATTGCGAAAAAGTAACGGTAAGTCCCAGTTACTTTAAACTTGCACTCTATTGTAGTAAAATTGAATGGCCTACAAAACTGCATATCCAAAATATTTTTAAAAAATCGAATTTAAAAGTTGGACATTTTTACGAAAGATTGTTGATTTTTTTCAAATGGTGCACAAAGGTTAAGGATAAGTAAGGACTATATATTCTGGTAGCCATACGGAAATCATAGCGCTGAACCCACTGACGGTGCCCTCATCTCGATACGGGCGTATTGACCTACTTCTCAATACATCATCATATTTTCTAATTAGAGTTATAGAGAGGGTACCAATCGCCACTTTAGGTAGGTATTGCCTGCATTTGTTTTGGATAGAGGATGCTTAGGTGGAACACTCCACACTTTCTTCTAGGCCGCATAGCTTTTGCGAGGCCAAGAATGAAGTATATGGGTTGTTTGCAAAGTCAACGTATTATGGGGTTTAAATACTAAATTAAAAAAAAAAAAGCCAAAGCCAGAAGGTAATATATCATTATCGAGAAGTAATAGTATCGATCCGGTCTCATATCGTATGGAAGTGGCGTATGGAAACGTCAATATGTAAATAAATGTGCATTAACTAAAAAACAGCAATACAAACATTATCAGAAGGTAAGTACATCTTATTCTACCTTGATTGAACTTTAAGTTACTAAACATGTATTAAAAATTGCCTAGTACATATCTTCGGCTGAGTGGAAGAACGCCGAGATAGGAAGTTTTTTCGAACCGACAGCCGAGTTAGGCCGATCTTCTACTCAGCTCTCGTTATACTACTATTTGGCAATAAATATATGGTGTGTCATTTGAAAGT